TTTTGGATCTTAGGGTATTCCATGGATATTCAGTTTCTGGATTATTATTCACCCAATTTGTTTGATTGCACAAATATTTTTGTGATATCATGTTTGTGTGGACCTGAAATCTATATGAAGTGGGATAGTTTTGCCGGTTTCTATCTCCATGCTTGTATTTGTACAATTAACAATTGGTGACTAATTGGGAGGATGGTGCTATGAAATGCTTTAGAAGAATGTGAATCTTAGAAGATTGAGCATTTTAACCTCGCCTAGTGGTGTGTCCTGGTTTAATGACCATAAAACCTTCACTCTTTCAGGACTGTGTTCTATTTGTAATTTTTTTTTCTTTGTTGCGTGAAAATTGATTGAACATGTAACACATTGCTTTCTATGTAGTGGCAAAGAGAACATCGGTTTTTGATGACCCGACAATGGAAATCCAGGAGCTAACTGCAGTTATTAAGCAGGATATAACAGCCCTTAATTCTGCAGTGGTCGATCTGCAGCTTCACAGCAGTTCACGTAATGAAAGTGGGCAAACGTCTGCTGACACAACCTCTCATTCCACAACAGTTGTTGATGATTTGAAGAATCGACTGATGAATGCGACAATGGAATTCAAGGATGTCCTGACAATGCGAACGGAGGTGAAGCAATGCTTTGAATTTACTATCTACGTTTTCATTTTGGTGATGAATACATGTTAGCAATAATTTTTTATTTTTTATTTTTTTTTCTCGTTTTCTCCTGCCTTTATTTCTTTTTTTAATGAAAATATTATACATGAGCAGAATTTGAAGGTGCACGAGAATAGGCGACAGTTGTTCTCTTCATCAGTTTCGAAGAATCCTACAAATCCTTTTATTCGTCAGCGCCCTTTGGCGGCAAGGTCTGCTGCAGGAACCTCGTCCCCACCTCCTCTTCCATGGGCGAACAGTAGAGAATCTTCATCCCAAACGCTCCCCAGGTCGGAGCATAAGTTGAACTTCTTCTTCTTTTTTTTCTTTTTTTTTTTTAATTTCTAAAGAAGAGAATGTTTATTCATATGAATAGAAGTGAACAATATTCCCTAGATATACTTCTTAGGGATAATTAGAGAATCAATCACCCTTGTCTTTTTAGATATTTACTGAAAGCCACTCAAAGTTTCAAATTTACAAAAGTTTCTGATGTCCGGTTCTATTTCAATTTCCTCCTTTTCATTCAAAGAATATTAACCACATTTCAAAAGTTCCCCTTACATTCTTTCAGGTATTCCAGTTAACCATTATAGTTAAGGCCAAACCAAGAAGTGGTCTTTTTTGTAATCTTGACACATCTCTCGATTCCTTTTATTGTAGTTAGTATGTTTTCAAGACTCAAGATAACCGAAATACTTGCATATAGTTTCTGAATGATTACGCTTAAATAACAATAAGTTACATTAAAGTGCATTTATAACAGGAGTCAGGTGAATGGAGATTCTCAGCCATTACTACATCAGCAACAAAATCAACAACAACAAATGGTTCCTCTACAAGACAGCTACATGCAGAGTCGATCTGAGGCTCTTCAAAATGTGGAGTCAACTATACATGAGCTGGGCAGTATCTTCAATCACCTAGCCACCTTAGTTTCCCAGCAAGGAGAGATCTCTATCAGGTTTAAATATTTCCATGAAATTAAAATGAAATATTAAACTCATATTACATACTTCGTATGAATAGAACCTCGTGACTCATAAAAAAAAATAAAAATAAGTACTTCGTGACTAGTGTATTTGATATAAAAAAACACGGCAGTCTTTGAAATTGAATCAGTTACGACTGTGTTTGGTAAGCTAACTTATGGCTTATTTGATTAGCTTATAAGCTTCTTGATTCAAATAAGCTTGGTTTGGTAAGACGAGCTTTTCTCATAAACTTCCTTGGGTAACTTTTCAATTAAGCCCGTTGATATTTTTATTTCAGCTAGCTCATCAGCTAATTTTACTACACTTTTATTATATAAGCTAGTTTTTCATCCATAAAAGCTATCAGCTAAAATTCACTTAAAAGCTATAAGCTAGCTTATGGTTTACCAAACATAGTCTACATGATTTTTTGCTACCTTGGAGTTATTGTTAAGCACAATGTTGTGAAGGTTTCAACTTGTTTAGTCATAGATACAATTTTCAGAAGTCTTTTGGTTAACTTTTCTTCATTAGGGTTAGTGCGAGTGATTAAAACTCTACATACCGAATTATCTTTTTTTTTTTTAATAGAAATTCTATATATACGTGCATTCTATTTCGCTTTTAGGATCGATGAGAACATGGATAATACACTGTCGAATGTCGAGGGCGCGCAAGGAGCATTGCTCAAGTATCTCAACAGCATCTCCTCGAACCGGTGGCTGATGATCAAGATCTTCTTTGCATTGATTTTCTTTCTCATGATATTCCTATTCTTTGTTGCCTAGTGAATTACACATATAGACTTGATGTAGTTTTTTGAGTAACCAAAAATGGTTGCGAAGCTTGGGAATTATCTGCGTTATATTTTTCGTGTCTGTAAATTGTAATTACTGCTGCGAGTTTGTTCGCGAGCTTTATGTGTATTGCCATGTAGCTGGAAGGACTGAATTCTTGATGTTTTCTTTGTGAATTTGATCATTTTGATAGATTATGATTGCAGCAAAGAGGAAAAATAAAATCAGTGTTTTTTACACATAACACTGTCGCATTTTCAATCTTCTTATATTTCTTTTTGTATTCTGAATATCACCCAGAACTTGGGCAAAGTTTCGTAATTATTATAATAGTAAAGTTGAATGAAAAGATAATGTATTACAAAAACCATTTTCTTTTAGAAATCTTGGATACTATGGAATCACAAAATTTCCTTTTGACTACAATGTCTTCCTTTTGCTTTTCAACACCACTAATCATGAATTTAATGTCTCTGTTTACTCATGAGTTGATTTTGTTCCCCATCAAATTCATAACGAAAAGATTATGTATTCTTTTTGCACGTTTGGTTTTCAAGAAAATGAGAACCAAACGTGCATTTCTAGAGTTTGTATGAAATTAAAGACTGTAGATGGAAATTTATGTTACATATAAGGTATAACTAATATAATAACACCCCTTTATAACAAGTGGTAGGTTTTTTGTTAGGCCGATATCTTTTTATTCATAAAGTATGATGGGTCGACCTGTCTAATGATTAGACCGACATACAAGAATTTATGCTTTATATATTCTCATAGTTTGTGTGAACATACTATTATAAGGTTAATCTCTGACATGCCTCACGATTAGACCTACATTTTTTTTTTTCAAACCAAAATACCATACTTTAAAAATACTATAAATAAAAATATGACATTTGTAATGTAAGTTTGCATTTTCGTAACGACGAATGTACCGTCTAAGGTAAGGCAACACTACAAGAATTTGTGATTGTTGTTTTTTTCCTAAAAAGTGTGATTTAAAAGAAGATTGAGAATGTCTTTTGAAATCACTTCAAAAAGAAAAAAATCACAAAATATTATTGCTACTTAAATAATATTATTTCAGATTTAAAAAAATCCAATTTACGAAATTATAAAGCTTTGCCTACTACTACTAGGGTCCAAAATGCAAATAAACCAAACTAGAAGAACTAACAAATTACACTAAAACCCCACAAGTATAAAATCCCTCTGGCTCATCATCTTTCTCCCATTGTCTGCAACTCCATTGCTGAAACCCTTCAGATTTCTCCATCTCTGCATGATAATTAGCATCAGAGCTTATTAAGAGTAGCATTTTCGAATTCTTCGAGCTCTCTGGATTGTGATTCGTTGTCCATCTGTGCAAGAATTACGATAAAGTCTGAAGTTTTGAAGGATTAGAAGAATCTGACAACTTTTACCTTTTTTTTTTTTCCAAGATTTATTTTTGCTTCGTTTCTTATACACATATCGTCTTCTGAAATCGAAATTCTGAAATAATCGGGAATTTTTGTTTGTGGGCTTTTGGGTTCGGCAGTTGGGTCGTCGAGAATCGTTAATTCTTTTGTTAGCTAGGTTCTGCGTTTGAGGTTTTTTCAGACAGCTGAAAATGGTGGGAGGTGGGAATAAAAAGGGCGAGGGATCCTTTACTGTGAGCAACACCAATGTCTTTGCAGCTCTTGATAGTCTGAGGAAGAAGAAGAAGTCTGACAAAGAGAAGGGCTCGTCTAAGGTCGGTAAGGGCACGTCGAAAGGGTCAAAGGGAGTGCCTGAGGCTGAGAAGAAGGTTTACTGGGCCCCGGCCCCTTTGACGACAAAGTCATGGGCGGATGTTGATGATGAGGATGATGATGATTACTATGCTACAACTGCCCCTCCACAGGCTATATGGGGAGCTTCAGGTTCGAATAAAGCTGAAGAGACTCAGAAAGATGAGCTTGTGGAGGTATATATCGTTATAAATGAGAAATTATGGTATTTGTGTGGGTTGTTTGCTTCTCTTGGTGTGTGAGTTATGGGGTTTAGTAGTGTTATGTATGTATACTTTGTTATTTATTGGTTGGCTCTTTTTTGGTTGTAGTGAAGTAAATCTTTTTGGTTGATGAAGAATGTGGCTGATTTGTTTTTTTTGTTTGTGTACCATGTATGATGCTAACTATATGATCATTAGGTCTCGCATTCGTTGATCTTGTTGATCATTTACCTCACATGCACACGTGTTGTCTTGTATTATAATTTTGTACATGTAATTTTATGTGTACTCGAGTAATGTATTGTATGGATTGGGGTTGCATAATATTTTCTGACAACAAGCTTATTGGTTGCTAGATTTTATCTCTATGGATATTGTAAAGGTTCGTTTTTGTATTAATGCATCTGGTCCAATTTTATTTTTAGCTTGATGCTTATACTTGATGCAATTATTAGCTGAGACTGTGCTATCTTTTCGTGATATACGTGCTTTGGATTTGTCTCGTGTATATATACCATTTATGGTCTTATAAAAGGTGGTTCTGTGGCCTTTTCCCTTTTCAACTATATAGTTGATATATCCTATTGTAAATGTTCTTGTGTAAATTGTATGATAGCCTGACGCAAGCTCCATAGCTATTTTTGTTGAATTGACTTTTGAAGGGCCTTTTACATAAGTGTCGTTTTGTATGTTCGATGATTTTGATGTTTTGTGTGGATTCTCCTGTTACATAATTGACTGAACAAAACATAATCTTTTTGTTCATCATGATTTTATTTGAAATTTATATTTGCCTACATTATTTAATGTAAATAAGATTGTGCCAACTTATGATTATCAAATAATTTTAGGATCTCTTTTGACTCGTTAAAAGTTCTTGAGAATGAGGATGGCATTGAAACTGTATCACCAGAATTCCTCCCTGTTAATGAAAATAATCCAATTATGAATTTGATGTTTAAATAATCATTATGAGTCGTAACGTATAATAATTACAGGAAAGTGAAAGTGAAGATGATCTTCTCGATGAAGTGGATGATGATGTGGAAGAGGAACATGACCTTGAACCAGATGTCGATGAACAGCCTCAGCAAGTTTTACAAACGACTTCTCTCGCACCTAAAGAGACTGAGAGGCAGCTTTCGAAGAAAGAGAGGAAGAAAAAGGAGCTGGCTGAGCTAGAGGCTATCTTAGCTGATTTTGGAGTTAACCCAAAAGAAAAAGCTGGAGATGAAAGATCTGGTAAATCATGTTTTCATTCCTTCAAATTCAATACAGTGACTTTTTTACTATAAATAATGCCCTTGAGGTTTGGCCTGAAAAAGCCAACTAATTTTCAAAATTTTGAAAAAAAAAAAAAGGTTCTGGAGTTTGATGGTGATGAGATATATATAATGTGTAGGAGGGTATGCAAATATTTATCCTCATTGAGGTAAATATTAGAGAACATAAAAGGGGTATTTATAGTAATTTTGGAAGATGCGTCTTTCTTTAATTTAGTCGAGCCATGTTGCATTTGGATTTAAGGAAAAGAGTTCATAGTTGAGCCATCTAAGATAGGTTTACTGAAAAAGCTCCATGAATTTGTTATTTTAATTGGAAATCTTTGCTTTCGAATTCTTCAATTGGTACGAAAGCCTTAGGTTAGTATATTTGTCAACGTTATGACCCTTTAATTGCAATGTCTTCATTCTAACAACTGTGTTATGCTTTAATGGTGATGCTATTCTATATTTGCACGATACTTTATATGCTGCCTTGGAATTGAAACCTTTTAATATGTACATTTGTTCCTCCTAAAAATTTGTAGGTAATTTGAGAGCACACACTCGATGTTTGCATTAACTTAACAAATCCCAACCGTTGTCTTGAGTGTGCAATTATTGGAAGAAAAGAAAATGTGGATCGCGTCTTATATAAAGATAGACAAAACTGCATATAAAGGCACCACCTTTAAGGTTTTTGCAATTTAATCACCACCTCTTACTATTTGCATTTAAATCACCACATTTCATATGTTCTGTAGATCGAATCATAAATTTAACTTCCGTTAGACTTGGCATAGACGGGAACGTCTACGTGGCTAGCTTGATACAGAAGGAAAGTCTAACGGAAGTTAAATTTATGATTTGATAAGCATATGATGTTTTGAAAGAAAGATGGTGATTTAAACGCAAACAGCAAAGGTGGTGATTTAATAGCAAAAAGCCTTAAAGGTGGTGCCTTTATATGCAGTTAGTAACTAGGTTGACATTTTCGGTTCACCTTGCAGATACTAAAGAGAGGAAAGAGGGGCAAACGAACGGCGATGCTGAAAAGGACAATAATGCCCCTGGCGAATCGAAAAGCGCCAAGAAGAAGAAGAAGAAGGACAAATCATCGAAAGAGACAAAGGAACCTCAAAACCAGACCAACACCTCAAATGCCCCTGGAGCCGAACATGCTGACGAGGATTTATCAGCTGTTGACGTGAAAGAGAAGCTCAAGAAAATGGCATCGGTTAAGAAGAAGAAATCGAGTAAAGAAATGGATGCCGCCGCTAGAGGCGCTGCCGTGGAGGCTGCCGCCAGGAGCGCCAGGCTGGCAGCCGCCAAGAAGAAGGAGAAGAATCATTACAACCAACAGCCGATGAGGTAAGAAGATGGGTTCGGATTTGGTAAATGGGCCTTTTACGGCTTGTTAAAATAAAAGACTTTCGAGTTCTAGCTTTTTGGACTTTGGATATGAGATTTTTTACATGGCTTGGCTTGGCTTGGCTTGGCTTTGCTGGGCTTATATGGTTTGTTTGAGGACTTTTGTTTTGCTCTGTTATAAGGTGGTGTTTTTTGATTTTGTTATAGCTCAGTTGTAACATGGTATAATACTATTGCTTGTGGTGAATGAGACTTTCTTCTGGAGAAAATAAAATCATGGGACTGCCTTGAGAACTTGGTGGGTGTTTTTTTTTTATTTTTTTTATTTTTTAACAATAATATATATTCATTTTATGTAACAATAAAAAAGATTTATATTGGGAGTCATAAAAAAAATGTAAAAAAAAAAAAAATGTGTATAATTCAACAGCCAATATTTTTTTAGCATTATTATGCACTTATATATACTTCTCAAGGTTTTAAATAGCAGGCTAAAACGTTTATGGCAATGTAGCTATAGCGGAGATTTAGCGGGACTTAGCGGCTAAATTGCAAATGAATACAAATAGCGGCACGCTGCCAAAAAAAGTTATTTCTCAAATAGCGGCAACTTTAGCGAGCTATATATTTCCTTGATACTTCTATGTACATTTATTATGTACTTATAGCATTTTTTTTAGTTAAATTGTCTAACAACATTTTATGTACATTTATTATGTATTAATAGCATTTTTTTAGTTAAATTGTCTAACACCATTTTATGTTAGGTGTTATATATACATGCTACCATTTGTGTACGTTGCTTTCTCCATTTTGTTTTGAATGGATTTTTTTTTTTTTTTTCCTTAAGAAATACATATTCAATTCTATATTAAATTAAGGGAACTTAATTTTTGTTGTAATATGGTCATTAAAAATTTTAAAATAAATTAATAGAATCATAACTTATGGACGGGATCAACAATATGACATTTGACAAAGTTCATAAATCTAAATATCATTTAATATTAGAGAGAAGAGAAAAAAATATATATATTTTTATTTTAAAATTTTCATACTATAAACAAAAACACGATATTTCACCCGTCTCATAGTTAGACAAGCCACGTCATCCACCAGAAAACGACAAAATATCTACTGCCAGAAAAAGGTAAAAATGGCAGTATAAAACCATCAGCGTTTTCTCTCCTTTTTTTTATTCATCTGCCCTTCTTTTCTCCCTGATTTTGCTCTGTATTTTTTCTAGTGATCACGAATTTCTGGGGGATTTGACGTGTATCCGAGGAGCTCCATCCCCCTTTTTCTTGATCCAGCGAGTGAGCTTTTTATTTTCCTTTTTTTTTTTCATTTTCCTCAATTTATTTTGTGTATAGCTCGTGATCGTTTTGTATTTGGCTCTCTCTGGTTTGTCTGTCGTGGATCGATTAGGTCGTTTGTGTTCGTGATCTCGTTGAGCTCTTTGCTGTATCTATCTGTTTATGGCTGATTTTGTTTTTGGGGATTTTTTATTTCAATCGATGTGATCATGCAGTTTCTCGCCTGATTTTCGCTTTATGAAAGTTTCGTCACATGACGCGTGCTTGCTTCTGGGTTCCTCACATGAAGCAATAAGCTTTTAGGTTTCTGGGTATTGTTGAATTTGTGTTTTTTTTTTTCCCAAAGTATCTTTGCTTTTGAGGTTCATCTATGTGTGTGTGTGTGTGTGTGTGTGTATGTGTGTTTTAATGTATATATCGTTTATTTGTGAGAGCTATGATGCATTTAGACTTAACAGATTTGTCGAAAACAAATTAACGAATGTGGTGCTGTTTTGTGTTTTAGGTGCCTATTTGATGGTGTTTGCTGATTCAACAAGTAGTTGTGTTCATTTATAATATGAATTGATAATTAGGGATACAGTTTCCGTCTTATCTGTTAGTGAATAGTTAAAATTCTGATCTTGGTATAGCTTGAAGGACAATAAAAATGAGACTGCTCTTTATGAAGCATCAGATACTTTGTTATAAAAATTTATGCAGAAAATGGTCCCTTTAAACAGATGGTATTATATAGGTTCTTGTTTTCGTATTGCATTAGTAGCGTGACATTAAGATCTACCTAGCCTATTTTTCATTCTCTCGTCCTTTTTTTTGTAATACTTGCTGATTGCTATCTGAAACAACCGTGTCTATGAGGGGGCTTTGGTGTCCCAAGAAAAATAGTTTCATGTGAGATATTATGCAATATTGAAGTTACAAAAATGTGTATTCTTGTGGGGAGGATTTAAATGTGGAAGCTTATGATCGCGGTTTATGATTGAAAATGTCTTTTCTTTGCAAGTGTTATATAACACTGGTCCCCTTTTCCCCCAACTTAGAAGGAAAACAAAAAAAAGTAGTTTGCTTCATTTGTATAAATCCGTTTCTTTTACATCTCTTGTGCATACATGTATTTTCTCTAAAATACTCAAACAATAATATTTCCATATTTGGATCTGTCGTGACAAGTGTTAAACTGGATTGATTTATGACACCCGCGCTATTCCATTTTTAACAGCAATGAAGGCAGGTTCTTCATCTTCTCTAAATCCATATGCAGCTTCCTATGTGCCCCTCTTCAAAAGAGGGGTTGCCAATGCAAACAACGGCTTGAGCCCGACACAAGAATTGAACAGTGGAAATGAGTTTGTTTGGTCAGGTCATCAGCCGAGCACATTATTTGCTTCTGCTATCCAAACTGGTGAAGGTTCTAGAAGGAAGAGTCAGCATGGTGGTGGTGGTGAATTCTTGGCTTCTACCTCACAGTATCCTAATCCGATACAACCAAGCTTTGATGAAGAGTTCGATATGGACTTGGCTTACCTTCAGATGAACTTTCCGGGGATATCGGATGAGTCGCTTTCTGATGTCTATTTGGCCAACAGGTGTGACCTGGAAGCTGCAGTCGACATGCTACATCAACTCGAGGTAATTCTTTAAATTATTCCTATTTTAATTATTTTAATGCTTCCCTCGAGGTTTAGAAATTGCATGTCTGTAACAAACACAAGATTTGGGGGGTACTTGTAGTTTTAGAAGATAGCTATATTTCTCTTCACTGGAGTTTTTCTTTTTTTTTTTCCTTTTTGGGGAACCTT